GGAGGGGCACCTCGGAATGGGTGAAAAACTGGGGAAAACGGGAAAAATGGGTGAAAAAACAGGAAAAACGGGGTGGGAGCGACGGCAGGAGCACCTAGGAACGGGTGAGAAACGGGGGAAAAAACGGGAAAAATGGGCAAAAATGGGGAAAACGGGAAAAATGGGTGAAAAAACAGGAAAAACGGGGTGGGAGCGACGGCAGGAGCACCTAGGAACGGGTGAGAAACGGGGGAAAAAACGGGAAAAATGGGCAAAAATGGGGAAAACGGGAAAAATGGGGGTGGGAGGGACGGCAGGAGCACCTCGGAGCGGGTGAGAAATGGGGGAAAACGGGCAAAATGGGGGAAAAATGGGAAAAACGGGAAAAACGGGAAAAATGGGAAAAACAGGGAAAACGGGGGTGGGAGGGATGGCAGGAGCACCTCGGAGCGGGGGAGAAATGGGGGAAAGAACGGGGAAAAATGGGCCAAAAAATGGGGAAAATGGGGAAAACGGGAATGGGAGCGACGGGAGGGGCACCTCGGAATGGGTAAAAAACTGGGTAAAATGGGAAAAAATGGGGAAAATGGGGGGAAATGGGGAAAATGGGGGGAAATGGGAATGGGAGCGATGGCAGGAGCACCTCGGAGCGGGTGAGAAACGGGGGGGTGAATTTTGGGGAATTTGGGATGGGTTTGGGGGAATTTGGGAAATTTGGGGTGAATTGGGGGAATTTGGGGTGGATTTGGGGGGATTTGGAATGGGTTTGGGGGAATTCGGGATGAATTTGGAGAATTTGGGGGAATTTGGGATGAATTTTGGGGAATTTGGGGTGAATTTTGGGGAATTTGGAGTGGATTTGGGGGAATTTGGAGAATTTGGGATGGATTTTTGGGAATTTGGGGTGAATTTGGGAAATTTGGGGGAATTTGGGATGGATTTTTAGGAATTTGGGATGGATTTGGGGAATTTGGGGTGGATTTGGGGGAATTTAGGATGAATTTTGGGGAATTTGGGGTGGATTTTGGGGAATTTTGGGGAATTTGGGGGGATTTTTTGGAAAAAAATTTAAACCAATTTCGAAGGATTTTTTGGTGAATTTTTGAGGATTTCTTGTGAATTTTTGGGGACTTCATTACAATTGGTGAATTTTTGGGGATTTTTTGGTGATTTTTTGGTTTTTTTTTTTTCTTAAATTTTTTGTCCGTTTTTGTGGAATTTTTAATGATTTTTTAAAATTTTTTTTGTGATTTTTTCAGGGAATATTTTGTGAATTTTTAAGGATTTTTTTGGGGAGGGAATTTGGGGTGAATTTTGGGGAATTTGGAGTGGATTTGGGGGAATTTGGAGAATTTGGGATGGATTTTTGGGAATTTGGGGTGAATTTGGGAAATTTGGGGGAATTTGGGATGGATTTTTAGGAATTTGGGATGGATTTGGGGAATTTGGGGTGGATTTGGGGGAATTTAGGATGAATTTTGGGGAATTTGGGGTGGATTTTGGGGAATTTTGGGGAATTTGGGGGGATTTGGGATGGGTTTGGGGGAATTTGGGGTGAATTTGGGGAATTGGGGATGGATTTGGGGAATTTGGGATGGGTTTGGGGGAATTTGGGAAATTTGGGGTGAATTGGGGGAATTTGGGGTGGATTGGGATGGATTTGGGGAATTTGGGGGGATTTGGAGTGGATTTGGGGAATTCAGGATTTTTGGGAATTAGGGATGGTTTTGGGGGGAATTTGGGGCAGAATTTGGGGGTGCATTTGGGGGAAAATTGGGCAAATTTCAGGCAGGTTTGGGATGAATTTGGGGCAGAATTTGAGGGGAATTTGGGCAGATTTCAGGCAGCTTTGGGGTGAATGGAGAATTTGGGGTGGATTTGGGGGAATTTGGGATGAATTTGGGGGAATTTGGGATGGGTTTGGGGGAATTTGGGGTGAATTTGGGGAATTGGGGATGGATTTGGGGAATTTGGGATGGGTTTGGGGGAATTTGGGAAATTTGGGGTGAATTGGGGGAATTTGGGGTGGATTGGGATGGATTTGGGGAATTTGGGGGGATTTGGATTGGGTTTGGGGGAATTTGGGGTGAATTTGGGGAATTGGGGATGGATTTGGGGAATTTGGGATGGGATTGGGGGAATTTGGGAAATTTGGGGTGAATTGGGGGAATTTGGGGTGGATTGGGATGGATTTGGGGAATTTGGGGGGATTTGGGGGAATTTGGAGTGGATTTGGGGGAATTTGGGATTTTTGGGAATTAGGGATGGTTTTGGGGGGAATTTGGGGGTGCATTTGGGGGAATTTGGACAAATTTCAGGCAGGTTTGGGGTGAATTTGGGGGATGTTAGAAAGGATTTAGGGTGAATTTGGGGATGCATTTGGGGTGAATTTGGGCAAATTTGGGGCAGAATTTGGGGATGGATTTGGGGGGAATTTGGGGGAATTTCAGGCAGGTTTGGGGGGAATTTTTGAGAATTTGGGACAGGTTTGGGGTGAATTTGGGGATGGATTTGGGTGAAATTTGGGCAAATTTGAGGCAGGTTTGGGGTGAATTTGGGGGAATTTGGGGTGGATTTGGGGCAGAATTAGGGGATGCATTTGGGAGGAATTTGGGCAAATTTCAGACAAGTTTGGGGTGAATTTGGGGGATTTTGGGGCACCCTGACCCCCCGTGTCCCCCCAGGAAATCATCGCCTTCCAGGCCGACAAATCCATCGAGGTGCGGAAATTCGTGGTGGGGTTCATCGAGGAGGCCTGGTGAGGCTGGGGCAAAAACGGCCGGTTTGGGGCTTTTTGGGGCTTTTGGGGCTTTTGGGGCTTTTTGGGGCTTTTTGGGGCCTTTTTGGGGCCTTTTTGAGGCCGTTTTGGTTGGAATTTTGAGCCATTTTCGTGGGAATTTTGGGCCATTTCTGTGTGAATTTTCGGCCATTTTGGTGGGATTTTTGGGACCATTTCCATGGGAATTTTGAGCCTTTTGGTGCAAATTTGGGGCCATTTTGTTGGGATTTTTGGGTCATTTCCATGGGAATTTTTGGGTCATTTCCATGGGAACTTTGGGCCATTTTGGTGGGAATTTTTGGGCCATTTCCATGGAAATTTTGGGCCGTTTTGTTGGGAACTTCTGGGCCATTTCGCTGGGAATTTTGAGCTGTTTTGTTGGGAATTTTTGGGCCATTTCTGTGTGACTTTTGGGCCATTTTCGTGGGAATTTTTGGACCATTTCCATGGGAATTTTTGGGCCATTTTGGTGGGAATTTTGGGCTGTTTCTGTGGGAATTTTTGAGCTGTTTTGGTGCAAATTTGGGGCCATTTTGTTGGGAATTTTGGACCGTTTTGTTGGGAACTTTTGGGCCATTTCCATGGGAATTTTTGGCCTGTTTTGGTGGGAATTTTTGGGCCATTTTAGTGGGAACTTTTGAGCCATTTTGGTGGGAATTTTGAGCAATTCTGGTGCAAATTTGGGGCCATTTTGTTGGGATTTTTGGGTCATTTCCATGGGAATTTTTGGGTCATTTCCATGGGAATTTTGAGCTGTTTTGTTGGGAATTTTGAGCCATTTCCATGGGAATTTTTGGGCCATTTCCACAGGAATTTTTGGGCTGTTTTATTGGTAATTTTTTGCCTGTTTTGGTGGTAATTTTGGGCCATTTCCATGGGAATTTTGGGCCGTTTCTGTGGGAATTTTTGAGCCATTTCCATGGGAATTTTGGGCCGTTTCTGTGGGAATTTTTGGGCCATTTCCATGGGAATTTTGGGCCGTTTCTGTGGGAATTTTTGGGCCATTTCCATGGGAATTTTTTGGTCGTTTCCATGGGAATTTTGGGCCATTTCCACGGGAATTTTTGAGCCGTCCCCGTGGCTTCGGGGTGACCCAGCTATAAACCCAACAACCCCAATTTTTTCTTTTGCTGTCCCCAGCAAAAGGGACATCGAGCTGCTGCTGAAGCTCGTGAGGAATGGGATCAGGACCAGCCTGTCATCAAGTACAGTGAGTCTGGATTGGGATTGGGATTGGGATTGGGGTCAGGAATGGGATCAGGACCACCCCGTCATCAAGTACAGTGAGTTTTGGGGGATTCGGGTTGGGATTGGGGATTGGGATTGGGATTGGGATTGGGATTGGGATCGGGATCACCCCGTCATCAAGTACAGTGAGTCTGGGGATTGGGATTGGGATTGGGGTTTGGGATCGGGACCACCCCGTCATCAAGTACAGTGAGTTTTGGGGGATTGGGCTTTGGGATTGGGGTCAGGAATGGGATCGGGACCACCCCGTCATCAAGTACAGTGAGTTGGGATTAGGGTTGGGATCGGGATTGGGATTGGGATTGGGACCAGCCTGTCATCAAGTACAGTGAGTTGGGATTGGGGTTGGGGGTTGGGGTTGGGATTGGGGTTTAGGTTTGGGATCGGGATTGGGACCACCCCGTCATTGAGTACAGTGAGTCGGGATTGGGGTTTGGGGTTGGGATTGGGAGCACCCCGTCATCGAGTACAGTGAGTCTGGGGGATTGGGATTGGGGTCAGGAATGGGATTGGGGTCATCCCATCACTGAGTCCAGCGAGTGGAGGGGATTTGGGGTAGGGTGACCCCACTGACCCTTTGAGAGGAGACCCCACTGACCCCTTGAGTTGGGGACCCCTCTGACCCCCTGACTGGGACCCCAGTGACCTCCTCGTGGGTCAGTGACTCCATTGACCCTTAGCATGTGGGTGACCCCGGTGCCCTCCCCGCGGGTGGGCGAACCCGCTGTCCCCTGACGTGTGGGTGACGCCGCTGTCCCCGCTGTCCCCAGACGTGCTGTGGGAGGAGGGCAAGGCGGCGCTGGAGCAGCTGCTCAAGTTCATGGTGCACCCGGCCATCTCCAGCATCAACCTGACGGCCGCGCTCGGCTCGCTGGCCACCATCGCCCGCCAGCGGCCCATGTTCATGGCCGAGGTCATCCAGGCCTACGAGACCCTCCACGGTAACGTCCCCAAGTGTCCCCTGCTGTCCCCAGGGTGTTCCTTGGTGTCCCCCTGGTGTCCCTGGTCACCCCATGTTCACAGCTGAGGTCATCCAGGCCTACGAGACCCTCCATGGTAACGTCCCCTGGTGTCCCCAAGTGTCCCCAAGTGTCGCTAACCCCGTCCCTGTCCTCGTAGCCATCCTACCATCCACGCTGGCCAAGTCTCCAAGCCATGTCCCACGTCCCCAGCTGTCCCTAACCTGTCCCTGTCCCCGTAGCCAACCTGCCTCCCACGCTGGCCATGTCCCAGCTGTCCCCAGGTGTCCCCAGGTGTCCCTAACCTGTCCCTGTCCTCGTAGCCAACCTGCCCCTGACACTGGCCATGTTCCTGGTGTCCCCAGGTGTCCCTAACCTGTCCCTGTCCTCGTAGCCAACCTGCCCCTGACACTGGCCATGTTCCTGGTGTCCCCAGGTGTCCCTAACCTGTCCCTGTCCCTCGTAGCCAACCTGCCGCCCACGCTGGCCAAGTCGCAGGTGAGCAGCGTGCGCAAGAACCTGAAGCTGCACCTGCTGAGCGTGCTGCGGCACCCGTCCTCGGGCGACTTCCAGCCGCAGATCACCACGCTGCTGGTGGACCTGGGCACGCCGCAGGCCGAGATCGCCCGCAGCATGCCCAGCCCGCGCGAGGCCCGCAAGCGGCCCCGCGACGAGCCCGACGCCGCCCTCAAGAAGATGAAGATCGGTGAGTGGGACACTGGTGGCACTGGTGTCACCTCCCCATGGTGATGCAGGTGTGGTGGGCTCAGGGTGGGCGGGGGTGG